CCATTCATTTAACTTATTGCAAGCATATGGCACTGCCGTGCGGACAAGCAATCGAGAGGCGAGAAGCGAGGCATGCCAGCGGGCAAAGGCAGCCCGGCTTACCATCCGTGTCGAATGCAGTGCCCGTTGCCAGCTTGATCATGACATCTGCCTGTAACTGAGAGATAACACCTTCTGCCTTCCACAGGTCTATTGCCAAAGCCAGAAACTTGCTGAAATCAATGCCTGCTTTGCCCAGCTCGCCCTTCAGCCGCGACCGCTCGGAGCGGCTGCCGGCGGCGGCGCACCGCTCAGTGAAGAAGTCCTTGAACTCCTCCCAGAACACGATGGAATGGCAAAAGAACTTGATCTCGTGGGAGTAGCCTGACTGAACGGCGATGGCGACGCGCGCCTGTGGATGTGCTTCACAAAACCTTTCCCACGAGTTGAAGCGCGACTTCAGCTGCTTAGCTTGGTTAGCTGCACCGCTCAATAGCGGCGTTGGACCTAGAGCCTTGCTGCCGGACTGGGCACCATGCTCATGTGTGCTCATGGGGGTTGAGTTCGTTGGAAAAGCGTATTACGGTTGCTGGGATGCCAACAGAACAAACGGGAGGGAGAATGATGCATGATTGAGGATGATGTCCCCAATGACCCTCCAGGTGGGGGGCCATCATGCCCATCATGGGGCACATCCTTACCGGGAGGCCTACCTGCCAGGATCTGCAGACACGGGTGTATCCGCGGCTGGCCATGGACCCGTCGCTGACACAGGTGCTTGGCCGCGAGGCCTGCAAGAGATGGCAGCACTGTGCCCTACTCACGCGCGAGTGCGCCTCAAGCTCCTTGATCGACTTAGTGACCAGCTCATCGTCCGGGGACGCCAGCTTCACAAAGTGGCTGTAGGCGGGCAGACGTGTGCATACTTGTCGCTGAAATCACACCCAAGTATGGCGGGGGATAGCACTCCCCCGCACCTGGGGTGGAACGTGAGGCGCTGGTTATGTAGGCGCGCCAGGTCGCCCGCCAGCGACAGAGCAGCGCAGATGTCAGCAAATTGTGGCAGTGCCTCTGGCTCAAACGTCCCCATCCTGCACCAGCACGGGGAACATCATGTGGCAGGCTGCATGCAGCAGAGGGGCGGGCACCACTGCACATTAGGGCAAGCCAAGCCCACCAGGGAAAGATTACTGAGCTGATGCGGAACAGGCTTGTGGCTTGCTTGTGTGGGCTTACAGTCTGGTTTCAGCAAGAACAAGCTTGCAGCACAGACTTTGTTGTTCGAGCAAGGAGGGATGAAGCAGTAGAACAACAGGCAGGACAGGCCAACTGACAGGTCACCGAGCGTTTAGTGTGTGAGCGGGCAGGCAGTACTGCATGTCGTGGAGCAGGTGTGGTGCGGTAAGAGCAAAGGGGGTGGACATGAGAGTGGGGGTTCAGGGCGGGACTGCAGGCAGCGCAACGGTGGCGGTCAGCCAGCGCTGGTGACAGGCGGCAGCAAAGGCGGCGAGGCGGCACGGTTTCTGGCGGAGGAAGCGGTGGGGAGGATGGGGCTCAGCAAACAGGTCAGGAAAGTTGAGGCGCAGCGGGGCGTAAAGGGGGCAGGTGAGCAGCATGTGGGGGGCATCTTCAATGCCGTCGTGGCAGTGGGGGCAGACTCGCTGCTCTCGGGGGCGCCGCGTCCAGCGGCCGGTCTCTTCCGCGCCCCAATGCGACCCGGTGCGCAGCTGCGCCAGCGCCTCGCGGTCCTGCCGACGCCGTACTGCATCCAGGTAGGTCTCGCGCTGCCCAAACATGGCGGGCGCCAGGTTGAGGGCGCCCACCACGTTGTGCACATAGTGCTCCAGCCGGCTGGCGCCGCCCTTCGCCAGCGCCTCCTGGAGCTGCGCCAGCTGGCGGCGCTGCGCAGCTTCCCCCAGCTCACAGGCGAATGTTGTGCTCCGCGTTCCTGCAGTCAATTAGGCAAGAAGTACCCGCCGCCCGGGCTGTTGGCGGCCACCTAGGCCTTGGGCAAGGTCATCAATCCAATTGCAGGGAAAAGCGTGCAGCACAAGTACCGGCCCTGCCAAACAAACGAGCCAACAAAAGGCTGCCCAACCACTGCACCATTGAATGATGAGGGCCAGGTCGCGACAGTTTGCCAGACACAGCTCGCCCAGGTGGGGTAGGCCCTTGGATTCCAGTGTGCGCTTGATGCAGTCCCTGCGGGGCGGACGGTAGGAAGAGCGGCAGAATGGAGCGAGGGGCGTCGAATGAAGCAGCAGGGGCCGTGCATTGTTGCACCGTGGGCAGCAACCGACGGCAACCATGTACAGCATGCCCACAGCATGCCCGCCCACCTGCTGGTGAAAATTGGCGGCTTGCGGTCACGCAGGGTCATGTTCAGGCAGCAGTAGCCCAGTACCGGCACAGGCAGCGCGGGCGGGCGGTAGCCATCGGCGCGCAGGCGCGCCACCAGCTCCGGGGTGGGCAGCTCTGCGGCAGGTGGCGTTGACAGCACCAGCGAGGGCGCCGAGCATGGTGCAACAGTTACCTCCATCATAGCAACTCGGGACAAAGGGGATGTTAAGCCAGACACAAACTGACTGACCGACTGAACAGTCACCCCTCACCCTTTAGCGGCAGCGGGTCTTGCTCCCGCTTCCTGCCGCCTCCCTTGCTCTTCTTCTTGGGCGCTGGCGCGTCCTCCTCCTCCTCCACCTCCTCCTCCTCGGCCCCACCCACTTCATCCGCATCTGCGGCAGTGGCTCCCTCCACCTTGACCTTGGGAGACAGCTGCGCCATGCGGCGCCTGCGTGAGGAACGCCGCCCCTCGGCTGCTTCGGGGGCTGCCTTCGGAGCCGGCACAACGTCCTCGGCCTGCACAGCAGCTGCGCAAATTTTTGACCAATCTTGGGTCGATACGCTTGTTGCGCCTGCACGCAGCAGGGTCCCCGGCAGCCTGCTCTGGGGCGGCGACCAGGCGCACCTCAAAGGCGGAGCGTGAGGTGCCCACCGCAGCTGACCCGGGCAACAAGCTGAGGGTGAGGCGGCCACTGCTGCTGCGTGGCGGCGGCTTTGGGGTTGCAGGCTGGCCGGCAACAGCCCTGGAAGTGCGTCCCATGAGGAAGCCTGGTGCGTCCACACTACGACTGCAACAGCAGATGGGGCCTGGTAGTTTGGAGCCATCTTGGCAGAGGAGGGCAGAGGGCACCGCGGTAAGGACCCAAGGGCAAGTTGATCAGGCGCAGCCTCCACTCTCTTCCCCCGTCCGCCCCGCCTTTACACGCCACAGGCACCTTCCACGCAAACCACAGCGTTCCGCAATAGCAAGCATTCGCCCTCACACCACACAACGCCACCTAGCAACCGCGGCAGCCAGTCAATTAACCTGGTATAGGAGTCCTGTTGCACGTGCAGCCGACTGGGACGCGCGGAGGAGCAGGGGGATGAAGCCGGGGGCCAGAGATTGAGTCTTGTGCGCGCCCTCCACACCCACCGGTGGATAGGGGACATAGAGACAGAAGAACATGTGACAGGGTGACTCGGGAGAGATGCGCCGTGCTGCTGGGACTGCCCAGTCATAGCGCGCCCGTCACGGTTACATCAGACAGACGACCGACGGTCCCCTCAGGCGTCCTGTGCTGTAGGTGTTGGACCCAATTCTTGTGTGCAATTCCTGAACTTGCATACATGCCAATGTGTGCTAGAACTTTCTGATCACCCTCTTGTGCCGTTTGGTCGCTGCTGTGTCACAACAAGGCGCGACCGCGATATCCCCTGCTTGGTTGTCATAAAAGAGATGCGGTTCGCTCGCTGGCGGGTCCAGAAATGTTGCCACCTGATTTGTGCCCAGGGCAGGCTTGGATTAAGCGTGACTGCTGTCTGTGAAGCGTGGTCACGTGCGCCGGCCCGGGTCGACGCCGCACCATCTGCAGGGTAGCTGCAAGCAGCAACCCCCAGATCCTCTGCAATTCAGCACAATCTCTTGTAGATCCCCTTGCGTGGTAGACGATGTACACCGTGCAGCCGTGCTCACTGCACACGCCGTAACCGCTCGGCGGCGGCCGGTGGCGAGCGGCAGCTGCTGGCGGCAGCATCTAGCATCATACAGCCCTGCCCCTCGTGCCTCGTCATTCCGAATCCAAGCAAAAAAGAGTAAACCAGGCCACTGCACTGCATTGGGCGACGTGATGGCGCCCTGATGGGCAGGGCCTGCCAGCAGCCCACACTGGTGTCTGGGCTGCCATCGAGCGTTTGGACGGCGACAGGTAGCCGTTGGTGCCAAGCCCAACAGCCAGCGTGTTTTGCATGCCCTGCTCCTCCATGGTCAGAGACAAGAGGGCCGCCAGGCTCGCAGCCTTCTGATTCAACGTAGGGCCACGCCAAAGCACGTGGCAGCAGCAGAGCTTAGGCTTGTGTGGACCATGCCGCAGAGCATGTCGGCCTGCCCCCCGGCCGGCCCCATCACGCCTCAGCAGGAGGAGGAGCGGCAACATAAATGCGAGCTGCCGGCCCCAAAGGCCCTAGACGTGCAATTCAGTGGCCTCTGTGTGGCCACTGATGAAGAGGCGGGCTCGCCCCGCTCGCCCTTTGCCAGCAGCGGCTCGGACGGGCAACAGCAGCAGAGGGGCGGACAGCAGCGGGACACGGACAGCGAAACATGCAGCAGCCCGGGCAGCGGCAGCGGCGGCAAACCAGTCGCGGCCGCCGGCTGCTCACCACCAGAAGCAGAGTGGCAGCGAGCCAACCACGACCGCAAGGAGCCCATCCTGCAGGCAAACAATGAACGCTTCTGCCTGCTGCCAGTCAAGTGAGTAAAGGGTGGGGCTGGTGGTTGGCGTGCCGGCCGGCCAGGACGGGGCCAGGTCGTGGGTGCCGGTCTCTAAAAGCGGCGGGAAAACACACGGTGGCACCCTGAGCCTCTGTTTGCGGCAGCTTGGGTCGCTTGCTGGGACGGTTGCCCCTCTTTTTGGCATCCTGCACTCCCAGGAGTGAACAACGGGGCAGCCCGCTGCCGGCCGCGTCTGCCTGCTCCTCCCTACATACCCCGCCCGACACCCGACACCTGCTGACTCCTCTCTTCCCTGCAGATACGACCGCTGCTTCGAGTACTACAAGCAGGCGCAGGCCAGTTACTGGACGGCAGAGGAGGTGGATCTGAGCCAGGACATGCGGGACTGGCGGAAGCTGACGGATGATGAGCGCCACTTTGTGTCGTATGTCCTCGCCTTCTTTGCCGCGTCTGATGGCATCGTGCTGGAGAACCTGTCCACGCGCTTCATGCAGGGTGCGTGGCAGGGCCATAAGGCCCATGGGGTGCCCCATGCATCCCCGCCGCCTCGTCCTTGCCAGCATACGTGCCTGCACCGCAGCACAGCACCGCATGCCCGATGATTAGATTTTTTGTTTTACCTTGGAGATCTTTTGAGTGCCGGAGTCCAACCGACACACTGAAGACACTTTCTGCAATTATGAGGGCTGTGTATGTGCATCCATTGCACGTGCAGTGCAACCACATCCGCCGACGTGGCTCCCCGCCACTGTTCTTCCCCCGCCCCCCATGCGAGCGCTTGACCAGCACCCTGTGCCCTTTGCCACCCCACTTACCTGCCTGCAGAGGTGCAAATCCCGGAGGCCCGCGCTTTTTACGCTTTCCAGAGTGCCATTGAGGCGGTGCACAGCGAGATGTACGGGCTGCTGCTGGAGCAGTACATTCGGGACCCAGACGAGCGCGACCTGCTCTTCCACGCCGTGGATACCATCCCCTGCGTCCAGAAGAAGGCGCAGTGGGCGATGAAGTGGATAGAGAGTAGCAGCTGCTTTGCAGAGCGGCTGGTGGCATATGCGTGCGTGGAGGGTATCCACTTCTCAGGCTCCTTCTGCTCCATCTTCTGGCTGAAGAAGCGCCAGCTCATGCCGGGTCAGAAGGGATGTTGGGGCCCTGTTTGATGCCGATTCAGCCACTTTTCGCAATGCATAGCTGCATTCCACACCCTGGATCCGGAAAGTGCTTGCAGCAGCAGCCAGCAGGTGATGGGGCACTGACGCATTATGCGCGCCTCGCGCCCCACTCTGCCAACCCTCAGGGCTGACCTTTAGCAATGAGATGATTAGCCGCGACGAGGGGCTGCATACGGACTTTGCCTGCCACCTGTACGAGCTACTACAGAACAGGTGGGTGGCGTCAGGAATGGGCAGGGAAGGCATTGGGGCTGTCCTGTGCTGCTGACTGCACCCCCAACCTGCACTCCCGCTGCGCAATGATGAACCCCTTTATACTTCAATTGCTGTTCAATCCGACACCAAACCGTG